TCATATTTCTGATCCATATATATGTCATCAAGAAGAAAGAGAACTCATCAAGTGTTGTTTATATATGTTTTGTAGAGTGGAGAAAGACACATTCAACAGTAGTATTCAATATCAAAAATGTTTATGGATAGAAAACGTTCATTAGACTTAATTTAAAATACACATGTATCTTGAATGTATAAGTTGACGAGTCATATATTGGCTTCATATTATTGGTAGATATCAAATTCACTAGATTAAAAAATGTAGAATAACGTGACCTTACACGCTGCATATATTTAAAGAAACTTTTAATGAATGACAGATGTCCCGTCTTACTATATGGGGGGGTTCTTTGTATTCCTTCATATTTCTTTATATGTTTTTTTTTTTAAATTATTTTAAGCTGAAAAATTTTTTAATTATAAAAATATTAGAATTAAGTTAAAAATAAACATGTAATGAAATTAAAACATTCAAGACAATGTTACCCATTGGTGGATTATGATAAAAAAATATTTGAATATCTTCATTCTATTTTAACCGAATGCAATGTTTAATTTTCGGCAATGATAGAAGAATGTTTAATGTTTTTTTTTTTATCTTTCACAAGACAAATTTCAATAAATACTATGTTAAGGTATTATAATTAGTTTTAAGAATGGAAAGTAACTTTCTGAATTGTTCGAAAAAATAAATACAATCATATTTGTATTTTAAAAGCCTTCATGGCTGAGTAATTACGTTGTTCGATACGTATTCACAAGATACTGTATGTAATATTTAATACCATCAGCTATAAAATAACCTTGAACAAGTTACTAACAATTATTTATCTCGAATCACTTATATGATAGTATGCTGACTAACATCTACTCTTGTGATTAGTTAGTGTGTATGAAGAACGCAAGAAGTCTACTTCAGACTGATCTTCTGTTGAGAGCTACAGTTTAGTCATAATTGTAGGAATGATGTCGGGCTATTTGATCTGCCGCAAGGAAACAGAAAGCAACGGATATTCCCCTTCTTGCTTGTATTATGTAGGTTATTTTGTATGAGTAAACTGTTATAAATATAGCACATTCTCACAAATTAGACCACCTTTTTATTTCAAATTATAGAAAGATATTTTTTTAGTAAAATATATTTTAGATAAAACTAAACCTATTATAATATATGGCATTTATTGACGCTTCTCTTATGAATAAGAACATTTAACATTCTTTCATTACTGACAAAAAAAAAATCAGCACATTCGGTAAAATTAGCATGGACATATTTAGCTTTTCTTGCCGTGACTCATAGTTAGATCATGTCGTTTTAAATGAATTAATAATATATTCCAAATAATAGTAAAACTTTACATTAGTCAGTGATGTTCTCGACAAATTTAGTTGTCGTCATTAGATAAAGAACTGGAATGTAAAAATCTTTTTAAATGTTGTTTTTCTGTTCTTGTCATATGTGTTATTACGTTTAAGACATAAAAGTTAGACGGCAAGAGATTAACACTTTTAAAAAAGAGATGAACTATTTTTCTTCTTCTTCCGTCTAACAATCGTATGTTAAATAATGTAATAAGATATTTGAAAGAAAAAGAAAAAAAATTTTACATTTCAGTATTAAGCCTGGTAAAGATAAATACGTTGGTTGAAATGTTATTAACTCGTATACAAAAAAATACTTTTAATAAAACAAATATAAAAATATGAGGAAGAATTTTTATTTATTAAACATAGATTAATAATATTCTTTCAAATAACTCGTAATCGATTGGTAACAATTATAAGCAAGTATATTATTGCTTATAATAAATCATATCTGCATATTTTGTCATCAGTGCTTATTATTATTATTATTTTATTTCAGTTTTATTTATGTTAGAATATTCGCTTTGTGCGTTGGTCGAAGCTTTAGTTTAGTTTAACGCATAGGCGATGAAATGTTTTGATTCTAGAGTAGGTTCAACACTTTTTATAAGATCCTCATTTGGAAGTTTAATTCGAGAGAAGACAAGTTTTTGAATGCTACTTAGATGAGATATAGGTTATTGTCTCTTCTATCGAACTCATATCTTGTGCAACGTATAACACTGATGGAGATCAGAAAAAAAAACATGAGAACGTTTATGTTCATCGAAATGGAACCTTCGAAAGAGGAGATTCTAATCTGCTTTACCGAAACAAAAGTTTAATGGTGAAGTAGAAATGTTTCATAAAAAGAAAAAGATATGGTATTGTAAGCTTCTTCACTGTTGAAAATGTTTTAATAGGCATGTAGTTTTAGTCATCGAAAGTGAAAGAACATCTTGACAGGATTCTATTTAATCTGAGTGAGATTTTTTCGTACAGGTCTTTTTCATTTGTAATGAAGGATCCCTGTTTCAATTCATTGACGATGTATAATTCGATATTTACTTGTATAAAAGTTAATGTTTAGTTAAAAATATTTTCTAAGTCTCGTTAATTAAGAAAATGTTGTTATTAGCTGCTAGAGACAACAAAAAATAATGGTATTTGTATTTTAAAAAATGTGATACGTTGCTCAAATCTATCAATCTGATGGAAGGAGGAAAGTATTTCAGTCTACTCTAGCCCACGAAGTGCGAATCTAGGATAGGCCTTGTCAAGCTTTATGGCTTCGCAGCGTATGCTTATCGAACACGAGTTGATAGTAGATAAAATGTGGACTGATCTTGTAACAACGTGTCATTTGTCTGAAGAATATATATAAATTAAACAGTAATAGAATATTTTTACAATAAGTAGAACCTATCTAAACCTTTATCTATCCAATGTAAGGTGGACTCGAGCTACCAAGATCTCGTAGCTCTGCCACCTATAAACTAATACGAACAAATGTTTTGAAATTTCATACTATTATCGAAATATATTTTCCAATAAAATAAAATCTTTCATCAGTTGGTTTATGACTTTTGTCATTAAACATAAACATATGAACAATAATTATCGGTCATTTTTGAAATGAATGACTATAATTCAAGATCTAATAAATTGTCGACGAAAGTCAAGATCAATTGAATTTTCTATATATTGATCTTTATTTATTGAAATTATAAAATTCTATTCAATCTAGAAAACATTTCGCTAATCAAAAAAAGAAAAAAACGAAGATCAATGCTTTTTATCAGTTAAAAAGATGTTATCATATGTAGATTTATATATATATATATATATTCTATAATTTATTTTTATTAATATATGACTACAAAATAAAATTGTTTTAATAGTTTTATTATTCTTGAATTTTTTTTGCTAATTCTCTTGATGAATCAATAATACCCGATATTGTACACATAAAACCAAATATAATAATTGCTATATTTCCAAATATTGTTGTTCGTGAAAGTGAATAATTTTTTAAATATAAATAAAAATAACAAGGCCATATTAAAGAAAGAAATACACCAGTAATACTTCCAATAAGACCCATTAATTGAGCAAAATGTGGAATACATAATGACATAATAAGTGTACTTAAAATAAGAATAATTCTTGCTAAAATTGTTTTCCATGTTGTTATTTCATTAGATAAAGAAAATTTTGGTAAAATAAGTTCACATGCAGCAAAATAAGGTAATGGATATGATAGAAGTGCTTTTATTGCTAATGTTAAATTAATAACAATACGTAATCGTTGTGTTGGTAAATTATTTGTTATTACTTCAGATGTTTGTTCTTGCCATGTTAAAAAACCAATTAAAGCAAAACCTGTTTTAAATATTGCAGCTATAATATGGGATAATACAAGCATGGCATTAAATTGATGTGGATAACGCATATTATTTTCTAATGTTGGTAAAAATATTTGAGATGTATAACTAAATACAATAATACCTAATGATGTTGGAAATGAAGCTATATTTATACGTAATTGAATTTTCGACCAATCCCATGTTGATGCTTGTGTAAGGCAATATATTATTATAATCATATTTATTATTAAATGAACTACAGCATTACCAGCACTAAAACGTGATACAAGACGAAGACTTCGTATAAATGAATATGGAAGAGTAAATAAACATGATAAACATATCCAATATCGAACAGGAATTTGAAATTGTGGAAAACTTCCTGCAAGTAATTCACCACAAAGAACTAAATAGAGAATACCTAAATATAAAAAAAAAACAAAATTGTAAGTGTTTTATTTTATTTTGTTTTGTTTTTGTTTTTCTTCATTTTCTATATAATTACTTACAAGTCATTAATAATTCAATATTTTGAGCAATAAATAATATTCGTCCACCAAAACGTTTTCCCCAAACACATTCAGCAATATCAACATAAGAATGTCGTACTTTCATCAATACTCCTGTTGATGAACTTGGCTCATAAAGACATGAAATAAGTATTTGTCCTGTATAAGTACATATCCAAGCAACGGCAAGCATAGCAAGTAAAGACCAATAACCACCATGATAAACCGAATATGGTAAACTGACCAAAAACATTCCCTAAAAATAGTTTGTATATTTCTTCTAATGAGAACAAAACAAAACAAAAAAACAAAAAGAATAACTACTCAACTTGAATTGCATTAGTAACATTCCAAGCCGCTTCAAGTGCTGTAATACCATGTGTAGCAGATGTATTTCTTTCTTTTCCTTCTTCATAATGAAGAAATAATTGATCTGTTTCATTATTAAATCTTTTATATGTTGTAATTGGTGTAAAACGTACAGTAAATTTAGAACGTTCGTTTTTCATCATTAGTTCAAATAAAATGTAATAGAATGAATAGAAATAGAAAATGTTTTATAAGTAAATTGATTCTATTTACTAAGCTTTTACTATATAGAATATATCATTTTTTCAAGAACTTTGTCAATAATATGAATTGCCTTTCTCTCATTAATAATGATATAATGCCATTTAGATTATACTTATTTGTTTTGTTTGAAGAATCTCATCAAATATTTTTTTTTCTTTAAATAATAAATAAAATGAATAATATTTATTTATTTTTAGATGTTTAATTTTTAATAAAATAGAATAATGGCAAATCAAACAATATTTAATCATGAAAACGAAGAAAATTCTCGTGTTCAAGTGTTATTTTCCGGTGCTGATGAAGAAGATCATTCAATATCATTAACATCTAAATGTTCAACTGATGATGAACCGATGGAAAATCTAAACGAAGTTGAAAACTTTGATGATAAAAAACTTAATTTATTATATGATAATTGGTTAGCACTTGATGCAGAATTACGTACATTTGAAGCAAAACATAAAGACTATGTTAGAAAATTAGATGAAGTAGAATTACTGAAAACAAAATATAAAGATCAATTTGATAAATACAAGAAACGAATTACTCAATTACAAAAAGATGTTGCTCGATTACAAAAATCACATGCGAAAAAAGGTTAGAAGGAAAAGAGACAGTGATTTCAACAAATTTTAAAATTCTATATATATCCTTCCTGACTAAAATAAACCGAACACCGTATTTATTCGATTATTTCTTCCCACCATCGTTGTTCTGTTTCATATGTATATTACAGATACATGCTCGATTACTTAACTTATTCTGAAAGCTTCAGCTCTCTAACATGAGAATTAGTGAAGAAAACAACAAATATGTCTCATATACTTTATGTGCCATTGAAACCAAAATTTTTTGTTTTTTTTTATTTCTCTATTTTTTAGATTCCATTTGGAACATCGGATGGTAGTTAAGTACCTCTGAGACATGTCTATGCATCGAGACATCTTAAAATGTCTCGTTGCGCAGTCATGTCTCAGAGGTATCTAACTACCACCCGATATTTCAGATGGAATCTAAAAAACAGAGAAATAAAAAAACAAAAAATTTTGGTTTCAATAGTACATAAATACATGAGATATATTTGTTGTTTTCATCGCCAATTCTCATATTATACGGCTGAAACTTTCAGAATAAGTTAAGTAATCAAGCATGTATTTGTGATATAAATATGAAACAGTACAACAGCGGTGAGAAGAAATAATCGAAAAAATACGGTGTTCAGTTTATTTTGGTCATATATGTATATATTGGCGAACAAAAGTTTAGAGCAGCTATATTTTTGAGTTTTCTTCTCGATAGTAATAGCTAGCAAGGATCTGAAAAGACATTTGTGTAGCTGAAAAGATTTTCTATTAGGATTGTTACGTCCAAAGACCTCAGCAAAACTGCTTAGATGAGAGTCTGCGAGAAAACAAGGCCCTCGGAACTAGGTTTTTTAGCTTTCATTCGAAGCTTTTTAGAAAATATTTTATTTGATAGAATAAATTATTCTGCGCAAAATGAGACGTCACCGACCTTCCTTCATCAAATCATATTCAATTTACAGAAGGTCTCAGAGTGTCAAATATAGCACAAACATTGAAATTTTTAGTAAAAAGAAGAAAAAAAATGCTTCTTAGGTCTTTTATAAGTTAAATGCAGTTCGGTGATGGAAGGTCGGTGACGTCTCATTCTGTTCAGAATAATTTGCTCTATCAAATAAAATATTTTCCAAAAAGCTTCAAATGAAAGCTAAAAACCACTGGTTTTGAAGGTCTTGATTTTTTGCAGATTCTCACCCAAGCAGTTTTGCTGAAGTTTTCGAACCTATAAATCCTGATAGAGAATTCTTTCAGTTACACCAATGTCTTTTCAGATTCTTGCTTGCTATTAACATCGAGAAGAAAACTCAAAAATACAGCTACTGTAAACTTGCGTGCATCACTGTATATAAGTAAACATTAAAGATGAATCTATTTTGACTTTGTTTGAAAATAAAATATTTTCCAGAGAGTCGACCTTAGTTTATGAAAGATCAAACATAACAATATGTTTGACCTATAAATGATTTATTCAGGATTTAAGTAGATGATAAATAAATAACGATGAAACAGTTGATTTTCAAGATTTCTTAGGATTCATGAAATTTCTGTGGTATATCCAAATGTATTTTTCTGTGAGTTTTGAACCGCAATATCCGCTAATGACATACTTAAAATGAATAATAGAAGTTTGCTTTTCCAAAAATAATTTTTATCGATATATTCATTATTAGAATGTCCTAAAATATAGCAAACGTTTTTGACTATGGAATTCTCTGTACTGTACATATTCTCAAAAGACTCTAAACTCTATACTGTCGATGACATTTTCCGTATTGTTTGAATGAATATGATAATAGTATTATGTGTTTCCGTTTATCCAAATAAACAAAGATTTCTCATAAAAAACATAAAATCTAACAGAAAAAGTTTTTCTTCTCTATTTGTTTTTATGACATCATAGTTTGAATTTAGCTTCGATGAAGTGAATCTAGGGAAAAATTTAAGCTTAATTGTTATATGTATAGATACTGCAATTGAAAGCTTATAAAAAGTCATAGTTTTAGATGGCAACCATTTATCTGAGATCCTTTTTTTTTTGAAACATGTACCATAGTATAGGAAGTATAAAGAGAAAAGCTATGGAACAGTTTTGTTTAAGGATGAAAATAATATCATTATTTATTTAGAGGGAGAAACAAAGCAAACCACTCCAAAGTCAAACCTGATAAATTTGAAGAATTCTCAATTTACAACGAATCTCGTAAAGAATAAAAATTCCTTACTTGCAGTTAGATCATTATCTCATCAATCTGAACTATCATCTGCTAATTCATCTCCAACATTAGATAGCTTAGGTGATACATTATCATATGCTGAACGTTTGAATCTCGTATCTGATCGATTGGATAAAAATACGTTATATCTATCAAGAATCTCTAATACATTACCACGTAAAGATTCATATTTAAAAATAATTCTTGGCGGTGTTGATGTATCAATATTAAATAATGCTGAAAAATGGATATACAAAGAAGAATATGAAAAATTTAAATTTATTATTACTTGTATCTCATTAGTATCTTCACTTGGTATTTGGTCATTAACATCACGTTATCGTACATTTGATGCTTTATTTCATTTTTTACTTGTTTGGTATTATTGTACATTGACAATACGTGAATCAATTTTAGTTGTCAATGGATCACATATTCATCGTAAGTTATTTTTATAATTTATATAGGAATATCTTGTTTATTTGTTTGTTTTTTAGCTTGGTGGAGAACTCATCATTTTATAACAACAGTAGCTACAGGTATTTTATTAACATGGCCTGAATCTGCTTCCTATCATGCGTTTCGTTCACAATTTTTTATCTTTTCATTTTATCTTAGTTGTGTTCAAGTAAAAAAGGATTTCATTTATGATTTTCTGAACTATACAATTATAAGTTTGTTTTTTTTCTTTTCATAGGTTCTTCAATTTTATTATCAACGTGGTTGTCTCTATCGACTTCGAGCTTTAGGTGAAACTCATGATATGGATATAACTATTGAAGGATTCCATCGTTGGATGTTTCGTAAGTAAAATATGATAAAGAATTTCAATTATTTCATATGTCCAAGAAGTTGGACATGACTTTTAGTTCGATTCAAAATTCCGGTGACTTTTCGATCCAAGCCAAAAGTCATACAGGAGTTCCGGTCCGGGCTCAAATTCCTCTCTTTAACTTCTTTAAAAACTCAAAATTTAATAAAACGTTGGTACACTTCGTAGTGTTTAGCAAGATGGCGTAGCTCAACGAGCATGAGTATATATTCATACTAGCTCACTATTGATACTCTCAATTTCTAAATAGTTTGTTCAATAATCTAAACACTAGCTAAATATCTGATGGCTCCAACTGAAGCATCTCAGTTACAAAATTTGTATAGTATTTTCTGTTTACTGGAACACAATGCCAAATCTCGAAATGTAATTTGCTGACCAAAATGCTAAAGTATTATCTCAGTTCATACTGCTTAGCACTAGACTATCTTGCTGTACGAAACCCTAGGACTCTTGTTTAATCTAAATACATGCTGCTGATAAGTAATTTTTAATGAAAATGAATAGTGCTAAGCACTATGGGAGGTGTACCAAATATTCATAGAAATGAGGATTAATGAAAGGTATTTTGGACCGAGAGAAAAACTTTTTAGGTCAAAAGTCTGATCTCCCTCTTCGACATGTGACATAATTCAGAAAACAATTTTATTTCTCTAAAGGTGGCTTATCATTCTTGGTTCCATTTCTTCTTCTTGGTTATTTATTTGAATTATATAATGGATATACATTATGGCAATTAGCACATGTACCAAGTACTCATGAATGGCAAGTATTTGTATTATCAATAATATTTTTTATATTATTTTTGGGGAATGTTTTAACAACATTAAGTGTTTTACGTGAAAAATTCCGTGAAAAAGCTCGACCAATATTATTAAAACAAAAATATCAAAGTTTTAAAACATTCCTATCAACAAATTATCATAGATCAAGATCATTTAATCAATTATTTTCTCCAAAAGCAAAAATTCACCAACGATGAAGAAATTCAAAAGACATCGAAAAAAAGAAAAACAATTAATTCATAGTTTTGTGCGTTTTTTTTTGCTTGAAAAAAATAATAAAAAATTATCCATTAAAAAGACGAAGAATATAAGAAGAATTTTTCTTTGATTGTCAAGATGTGATTATCGATAAATTGATTGAAATAAGTAGCATAATTTCGACTTACAAAGAAAGATCTCTAAGTATGAGTCTATATTTTCGATTGGGTTTACATCGGTTCGTAGAGCTCGATGAGTTGATCACAGTGATATATAAAGCATTTGTGCCCGTAGACTTTCTTTGAAGATTTAGTTTGATGTCAACTTCAGCACAATTACTGTAATCTGTTATTTCGGAAATTTTTAATTTTTATGTTAGTTTCATATTCAGCATTGAAAATGTTAACAATGGATACACCTTAATTGATGGTATACATTCAATATAAATAGAAGTCCTAGCTACGTCTATACTCTAATATATTTAGAACATTTATTTAAAAAAAAACCATGTTGATCATGTAACAATTACCTTCCTTATCTGTTGTAGTTTTTCATATAAACATGCAAGAAAACAACTAAATAGACTGTAAACTATTGAAAAATGAGATATCTGTCAAGACTTGAATTACTACGTCTTTAAAATAGTACTCCTATAGAATTTTGATTAGCTTCGAAAAATAGTTCGATTCCGTACGCCCACAGCATTAATGGCATAACAATATTCAAAAGTATATACGTAATTAGAACTTCTGTTTATATTGACTGTGTGAATATGTACAGTCAATAAAAGCGGATTTAGTATTAAAGTTTTTAAAGTTGAGAACTAAACTGCTAGTTATTCTTTGTGAAGTTGAGATCGATCTAACTCCTTAAAAAAAATCTACGGTGAGGAATGCTTTATGTCATTGTGTTCAGTTTATCGAGCTTTAAGAACTGGCATAAGGCTGATTGAACATGAAAACTCACACTTACGGATCTTCTTTCATTGGTAATAAATGTACCTAACAAAACAGATTCCTCTAAATATATCGATTGGATAGAAATTTATTCTAAATCTTATGATAAATACTATAAATATGAAAAATTTTATCAGTAAACATTGATTTCAATGAGCTTTAAATTAAATTGAATTAAAACAAAATATCTGATTTAAGCCGATTTTATCTTACTGAAAAAATTGAAATAAGGTTGAATGATCTAATGGAATTATTTTATTTTAGAAAGAAAGTAATCATGAGTTGATATATGTATTTCATCAAATCATACTAATCCATTATGCAATAATGACAGACTTAAGTGAAGAGGACAGGGACGAAGGGATAATCTCTTTCCTTCAAGAATCTTTTTTTATAGCAAAATCGACCGAAAAATATGTTTATTACTATCCTGGATGAACCTCAAAAAAATGATTTTTGCTTTTTGTTGTCTTCTCTTTCGTTTAAGTGCCTCCATCCTATCCAAAATTCTAT